TTTTTTTTCAATACTTGTGGTTTTAGAAGAGCAAATCATAACAAATTATACATCAATGAAATCGTAATGAGAAGCACTATTTTTCTGTATAGAAACAATATGGCGTATATAATAGAGAAAAAAAAGATAATTGCCAGAAGACGAAACATCGGATAGTAAATCTGTATCTCAAACAAAGTTCCACAGAAAATGTGTTTTTGGTTTTGAGGTGTATTGTCGAATAACGCTAGAAAAAAATAAAAAACGAAAATTTCGAGTTTCAGTTTTTTCTGGATATTTCTAGAAATACACGAAATTTCCCAAGTTACAAAACAGTATTTTGTTGAGCACAAAAAAACGCAATTTTTCCTCAACTCGTGCTTCGACGTATCTCCTGTACTTCAGGAGATCCCAATGGTGGGGCTCGAATTTTGAATTACCCTGTATAAATCTCGTCGAGGAGAATTTGACAAAGGTTATAGAAAAGGAATCGATTATTCTTATAGAGTTCGTGAATACAAGAATACTGGGATGTATTTTCAGCAGATTAACGGAGAAAACTTTCTTTCATGTGGGAATGTTTGGTACTGCTATTTTACTCGAGTCATTATTATTCATACTGAAACTCATGATCAACCGTAGTCTTCAATAGATCATGAACATTTTTGGAATATCCTTTTTATGTAGAGGAAGCATTCGAACATATATCTTGATCTCATACGAAAAAATGGTCCAATTCACCATTTTCATTTACAATAAACTTGGCAACTTTAGAGCAACGCAGAGTGTAAGATAATTTCAACCCTTGCTTCGAAGTGACAATGCAAAGCTCCGGAAGTATTTTAATCAAAAACCGAGAAGCTCCTGCGTTTTTATGAAATATCCAAGCAATTCTTGAAAACGACTCTGTTTCGCTTTATTGTATGAAGAATTCCATTTATGAATCCCGTGGTAGATATGATTGATGTGGTAGTTAATAATATAAAATTGAACAGAAGCTACTTTTCAAAAGAGATCAGTTTTTGGGAAAAGAGTTATTATTTCTTTATCTTCATAAAAAACGCGGGGGAAACTTTCTGAAAGGAAGAAATAGTGGTCAGAGGTCTACACTCATCCGTTAACGAATTATAAGGAAAATTAATAATTACTTCCAGTCATGGAAAAGAGTTCCATTTCATTTCATAAGATGTTCGTAGCCCTTGCAAATTTTGCTGGTTTTGTTATAAATTTATATTACTCTACAAGACACCTCAAAAAGGAGTCAAAGAAAGCGAGGTCGGAGAATCTTAGTGACTATCCTACAGTGTGTTTCAAATTCGATCCTCACCATTGGGATCTCGGAAACTATGAGATATACGAAGATGATGTAATCAGGATAAAGATGCGCACTCACCTAACCATTGATATTCCGTTGAGAAAGTTCTGAGATTCCGCATATATCGGAAGATATCCGGAAAAAACAGAAATTTCTGAAAATGGTTTTTATTTTCTTATGGCTTTATTTTCCGAAGGATTCTAAAATAAATTGCATTGCATATTGCATAATTGCATTGCAAAATGGTGTTGTCAGATTTGTTATTCGACGTTTCGTCTTCCGGTCACCATCTTCAACTCTATTTTTTCTAATGGGCGCTACATTGAATTCTTTCTGTTTTGAATAGAACCCGATTTTACGTTTCAATAATGTATCATAATTTATCATTCTTTTTCGAAAAATTGAAGATACTGAAAAAAAATTAATTCTTATTATAATTGGCTTTGACTTTGATGTTTCTAAATTTGACTTTCAATTTGTTACACCTAATGACATTTTGTTATTGTACAAGTCATTGAATTTTTGACAAAAATTGGCTTTCACAAATGAAGAAAAAAAATATGATTTATTACAAATACGATAGAAACAGTGTGAGGACATCGGAAATGTATTTAAACTTGTATATCCCGAAAGACGAAATCCACATCGAACTATTTTCAAGTTATTGGATCAAAATCTCACTGAGTTTGGTTCGTCAGTGGAAAAATATGGAGACAGAATCAACAATAAGAATTTGATAAATGATGTGTGTATGAGGTAAATTAAACATTGTGTCCTTTTCAATGAAAATATTAGTCAGAAAAAATAACAATAATCAACTGAAATGTAAAGATAAAAGTGAATCACAGCAAATGCTCAAAATGGTGGCCTTGTTCATGATAACACAACTGTGCCCTTTCCCGGATTCATGTTTATCTGCAAATTAATAATTTTTATTGAATCCCATTGGTGAGGATCGAATTTGAAACACCCTGTATATACTCTATGTCAGATCCAGCGACCAGAATATTCCCCATTTAGGTATTGTTCTACAGAAACATGAAAGTTTAGAGGTGCCCCATCTTGCTGAGAAATTGGATGGTGGTCGAAAGCATAATTTTCAATAGCAGCTACAATCCCAGAGGTGATAAGCTTTTTCTGTAAGTTACACTTATGAGCTTTCGGGCTTCTTCAATCAATCAGAGATTGTATCGGCAGTTGTATCTATCAACAAGACCAATCATAAAAAAGTTGCTTTATCCCTGAAACACATTCGATAAATGTAGCTGGGTTATGTGGCAATTACATTTTTCATGGTTTCACAGAACTTCGATATGGGTCATCCTCATTTAGTTCTTGTACATGATGGATTTCAAAAGGATGAGTTGAACAGCAATGCATCAAAACTTGAATTTGGAGCCCCTCACTTTTGACGACCAGATCTTATAGTGTCTTCTATGTAAAAAATTGTAGTGAATTTTTGCACAGCATTTCTCACGTAAAAGACCGGGTATGGTTGTCTTACGGGTTGGTTGTAAAAGCGGCCATATTGAAAATTTGAACAAACGAAAGAGTATCGAACAAAATCGAAGGATAGCGAAAGAAATGTATCCATTCTAACATCTCTTCAGTTCACGTTCATACTGTGTGAGGGAGATACGTATATTTGTTTTTTTCGCACGGCGAAAGTAAATATTTGTGCATTTGCGTCGAGGCAAGTATACTATAATTTTCCGTAGATATATATTATTTCATGTATTTTTGGTGAGACATCTGTGGTTTATGATATTGATTCAGAGTTAGTTTAGGAGGTTATGTTTTGAAATGTGTTTTGGGGCTCGTTGTCCCAACTTGACGGGCGCTGGTAGTCACATTGGTAGGCAACCAACACCATATATACATTTGTGCTTCATACTTTGTTGGATTTTTGAGCTTCTGCTACATACAATTTCGTTTTTTTTACGCTGTGATACTGCGTGCTGCAAAATCAGAGATTTTGGGATCAATTATTGTCTCAGTCTGACACTGTTTTGTAGCATCACGGTGTTATCATTGAAATCAACAGAAATTGGTTAGAAAGAAAGAATTAGAAAAATACATACTCACTTATATGGCTCCAAGTACTTATTTTGGTTCGTCTCCCAAGAGTATTCGAAAAACAGCGTTACAGTTGCCATAATTGTGAATTCGAATATTCACAGAGCTTCAGACTAACCAGATACAGAGTGGTCCAACGAAAAGTATGCACCTTGCTTTTCTCCTTTTTCTGTAACTTAACGCAAAAATGCTCGGACAAGTCAATTTTGCTTTTGAGGGGGACATAATTTAGATGTATTTTTCTACCTGTGCTTTCAAACCCCTAGCGAGGGTGAGTAACAACCCTAAAATTTCAAATGGAAAGTGAAGTCGAGTGATATATCATTTGAAAGGGCATAAAATTATCTTTCCAATGATACCTAATTTGTTGTATTTCACCCAAACATGTAGGTATTATGAAGAAAAACAACTACAACCCGGTACTTTGAAATGTGTAATTGACTTAGTAGAATCCTACTTCAGCAAGTGCTGAAAATGTGACCCATTTGCTTCCATACAATAATACAGATTTTGTTCAAATCTATTCCTAACATTCTGTAGCATATCAGGTGTTATACTGCTGCACTCTGCTGTAATTCGTTGGCGATGATCTTCTATTAACTCGGGCTGCGTAGCAAAACATTTATTTTTCCCCAAAGGAAACAGTCTAAAGGCGATAAATCAGGTGACCTGGCAGGCCATCCGATGGGGCCTCTCCTTCCAATCATCTAAAAACTCTCTCACCGGAGCAACATAGTGAGGAGGTGCTCCATCTTGCTGGAAATGAAGCCGATCATCATTATGATTTTGGACATTTTCAATTATTTCTGTTATGAGAGGATCAATTGTATCTTCAAGCATGTTCAGGTAGACCTCACCAGTTAAATTCTCAGGAATAAAAAGTGGCCCTAGGATATGACTACCTAATATGCCACACCAGATATTGATTTTTTGAGGGTACTGGGTATGAACCTCTCGGAATAAGTGTGGCTTACTGTCATCCCAGTAACGGCAATTATGCCTATTCACAGCTCCATTCAAAAAAATGTACTCTCATCGGAAAAGCACGTGTTGAATGATAGGTGCGGATCATCAATTAGTAGCTGGTTCAGTCGTTCACAAAATTGCAGCCTTCTATCAGGATCATCTCCATTGAGTTCCTGTATTAATTTAATTTTGTACGGATGAAATTTATAGGCATTTAATATCCGTATTATAGACGAACGGGAGACACCTGAGGCTGCAGCAAGCTGACGGGTACTTTGAGTATGATCCAATTCAACATGTCCCAAAACAGCGACTTTCACTGCTTCATTTCTGATCGGTTTCCGTGGCTGGTGTTTCACATTACAGACAGATCCGGTATCGACAAACTTTTGTACTAACTTGGCATACGAATGACACACTTTTTTTCTTCTTGAATATAATTAATTACGTATATTATTCCACTTTCAATGAGAATATTCATTTGAATGTTTTTATACCCCTCAATTATCTATGTGACTACCTGTCTCAGATATTGTGACAACCATCCCTGGCCCGGGGTTAAAGGTAACACTTTTTTTTTCATAAGAATTGTTAAATTTCCTTTACGGATGATGTTGGAGAAAAAAGAATATTTCTATTGATATAAAAATAACATTGATAATTCATGAATAAGCTCAGTAAAGAGGCAAAAGACAAAAAGTTTGACTTCCAAACCTGGTCTCCCCCAACTGGGAAACTGGTACATCTCTTGCGGCCTCATGATTATTTTTCGATGACCTTTTTCATGAAATGGAATCATCTTCACTTTCTATGTATTCAAACGAACCATATCAAAAAGAAATAAAATTACAAGATACACGTATCCAATGCCAACATCAACAAGAAAATCTCTCTCTCTAATTTGTTTGGCGGTTTTGCTCGAGGCTACCACCCTAACTTTTTTGTTCGGTTCTTCTTTTCACAAATTTCTTGTTTCACATATTTTTTGTTACTGACGACCTCGTCGAATCCGTCGACATCCAGGCTGGTTACTGGCGTAGGAGGCCGCCAGTCCTCTCTTATTTCACTTTATAATTCATCCAATCGTAACTTTATTTTAGACTACACTTCATTTCCACCTTTTGGACTCCACTCAGACCACAACATCGACATGCCATCTTTGAGGGCGGTCGTCATCGGCACAACCGTCCTCTGTCACAGTCAGAGAGAAAGGCAACAAGAAACTTTTTTTTTATTGCACAATACTTCATTTATTATAGAAACACATAAACACACACACACATATATTGTATATAACTTTTGAATTAACAGTTCAAAAATAAAATTTCAAACCGCTCAAAGATGCGAACTCGTTTCCTCCTTTTCATGAAATGGAATGCATCTCCACTCAAAAGCGATTTTGGTGAAATTGGTGACACGTGTGAATCATTGTATTCGCGCCACGTGCCAGTGGAGGGATGTCTGGAGTATGCTGTATATTATACAGCTATGAGTAGACCCACTATGATTCGAAAGTGCATATAGATTATAACGACAAGGAGTCACATTGTCTGCTGCATAATTATTCATATATAATCCATCCAGAGGAGATTCGATGACAACATTCAACCTGCCTCTTAATCTTTCTGTTAGAGCGACTATTTCAAAATGAATGACTAAAATACGGAGAAATGTATGGATTGAAAAAGACTTTGTGCATTTTTTCTCTCCTTGCAAGTCGAACACGTCGGTTATTTATGGTCATCTAAAGTTTTCCCTCTTGTGAAGGAATCCAGGCATTGTGATAAACTCAATTGGCCAGATCTTTGTGGTATGGGAAGTGACAAATTCTAGAAAGAATCGAAGGTTACTGATGATAGTTCACAGTGTGTGCACTTCATTGTTGGTTTTAATTGACCAACAAAATTATGTATAATTTCATAATCAGTCACGACTCTCGTTCTTTTTTGCTGTCGCTCAATTTTTCATCAATCGCCGTTAAGATCGGTTTGGGTTTCTTATTCTATTAACGTCATCAAGTAAACGTTCTAAAAGATAACGAAAGAACTCCTGGGCGTATAGTTAGTGGGAGAATGATAATTCCAGAACTCGTTCATTTTTTTCTGCATCTTCCTGGAAAATCGTGAAATGGCCAATCTGCTTACTCCATTTTGCGTTGTTCATAGAAAAATTTGATTTGATCTATGGGTTCAGGAATATCTCATCTAATTTTTGAATTAACGAAAGAGAACCCAATATCGATGTGGCATTCCCCCTTTGAATGGCGATACTGGTTCTTTGAATAGAAAATGAATAGGCTCGGTTGTCATCGGTAGAGTTCGTCATTCTTCTACCAATTTCTTTCAACAATTCAGGAGCATGAGATTCAAAAACACTGAAGGTTCCGCTTGCAACAGGAAAGAAACATTTCCGAAATTTTGATTTTCCGGCAATCATAGCAGCTGCACCACTAGAATCAGATGTACTGGCAAGGTGAGAAGTTGCAACTGTCTCAAACCAGGGGTTTCCCAAATTCCCAAGTAATTAGAGTCATTCCATCTGGATGCTCTCCATCATCTCGACTTACACCAATGGCTTCATGTACTGAAGGTACCTCTGCAGTAGCTAGAGCTCTTTTTATAATATCATTATTGAAATGATATCTTGAAAATCTATCAGAAATAAATCTATAACGTACGCTATGGTAACCGTTTTCTTTTACAATAGATCCACATTTTCATTTATGACTAGCACAAACTCAATTAACGTAACTGTTAGGAATTTAAATCAAGATAAGTTATATAATTCGAATTCGTTTCTATTCTATACAGACCTCTACTTTGTACCGAAATCTTGGTTTCTGAGAAGCTTTTGTTTCTCTGTACAAATTCAATTGTCAAACTTTCTTTTTTCTATGAACAATTGTTGACATGTCTGACAGTGAAAGCCAGTTATATCAGCTTCCATATGCACCACAGGCAGTGTGATTTTTCACAGCGTTTACAACACTCTCATTGAGTACTTTATATGTTGGGCCATTTGAAAAAAATCTCAACATTTTTCAAGGTGCTCCCCACTGTATATTACGAAGTTGTGTAATGAACCTCTTCATTGATTAAAAACCTTTTTTATTTTTTGTTTCAGAGTGTTTCGGTGACTGTGTCTGTCTTGACACTGACCTTCATATCGGTCGATCGATGGTACGCAATTTGCTTCCCTTTGAAGTTCAAATCTACCACTGGAAGAGCCAAGACAGCGATCGGGATAATCTGGGTTGTAGCATTGGCATGTGGTAAGTGTGTTTTTTTTTTACATGATCAAAGTTACGGCTTCCGAAACTGTCTCTATTGGGAAGATTTCAGAGAATGATTAGAATTTATATAGTCTACGTTGCATTCACAATTCTTTATCAACGAGTTCACATTGTTTGGAATTCCATATAAAAAAACTCTCCGCAGTAATAGAATTTTCAAGTAGTTGCCAAGTATTTGCCTTAATTTGGAATGCTGCAGGTGTATAACAACAAAAATTTGTTAGGAGGAAAATTGAAGTTCTCGAAATACAGTCGTCCTTCCAGTTAGTTTAGGTTCAGTTTTGCATATACATTGCCTCCGTGAAGTACTGCATACATTCGTCATTAGCTAAATAATGATAAAACATTTCTTCACAGGTCGACATTACAGGGCATACACTACATGAGTGAAAGTGCGCAAAATTTGTAGCGCTTATTTTATTAAATCATTCATTAAGGCAACAAAAGTAATCAGTGTAGAATTTTGTCATTCCCAGTGGCGTACATCAGATGAATGAGACACTCGCCTTACTGCCTCTTCAGCACCAAAGTTGGATAACATTATAATGAGTTGAATTTACTCATGTCACTAATGACAATTCGTAATGACATTCATTCACTTATTTGATTATCTATACTACATTGTGTAGCAAACTTGTGAGTGGTATCTGAATCAATACCATAACGAATGTTTTGACTACAAACTGAAAAAAAAGTTTTTGTTGGTATTCAATGTTCATAATGTAGTAGATGTTTCGATAGTATTCTTTCTTTCTTGAAATTCAATGTTTATATTCAATCAATATTTATTTTCATATTTCGACATAGCTTACATGTTAATGAATTGTCAATTGGCAGGTAAATTATTACATTAAAATAAAAATTTACATCAAAAAAGAAAAATAAAAAGGTTAAAATACAACAACACTGAAATTTACATGACATATATTCTTCTGGGAGATTGTTGAATATTTTGAGGCCAAAATGATCAGGAGCACATCAATTTATTTTTCTTTTTGCATAATGTTTTCTTGTTCTATAACCATGAACATACGAATTGTGAATAAAAGTGTTCTTATTTTTAAAAACATGGACACACATTGCGAAAATGAAGAGACATGCAAGCGTCAAAACACGAAATGTTTTGAAAATAGCTCTACATGATTCTCTGTTAGAAACTTTCGCGATACATCTCAAAATTCGTTTTTGTGCAATGAAAATATCTTTCCCACCTGGAGAATTGCCCCATAGGCAAATGCCATATCTGAGTCTCGATTCGAATTGGGCATAATAAATATTCACCATCTGTTTGACTTCTAGAACAGATCGTGAATTAATAAGGAGATATTTCAAAGAATTCAGTGTGGAAGATAATTGTTGGCAATGGAATTTCCAAGAGAAAAATCAAAAACTACACCTCACGATTTGATCTCCACAAACTTTATTTAAAAAATATATCACAACANACTTGTACCTGCAGAGCTGATCCCCATGCTGTTATACCATATCATCATATCAATACATTAAGTAAGTGGAAATTAGACGAAGTATTTTATTTATATATCTTTATCATTTAATTGAAGATGAATTTCCACAAAATAAATAAGTCATCAATATCACAAATTAGTTTGACATTCGTTGTCAGGAAAATATGAATGTAAATTTCAAATTACTTTTTCATGAATCCATGTGTATTTTTGATTTGACGGCTCTTCCGTCTCCAAGTCTGTTGTAGGTATTGCTTGATTATTATATTATAGTAGATTTATGTTTCGTCAGAGGTTTCTGTTTCACCATTCATTACATGTTAGTCTACATTCAGTCAACACCATGTTTTTCAAAAATGAAAAATAACTATTTATGATATAAGTGTAAGAAGTAACGTTTTATTTCGTGAGTAAACAAAATTAAACTTACTTTCAACACAAATATCATACATATCATCATACTAACATTGCTGAGTTTCTGAACCTTCTGGAACCAAAGGAATTTACAGGTCAATGTTTCAGAAGATCTTCTGCTTATTTGCTGTCAGAATCAGAAGCAAATATGGATATTGAGAGGCACGGATGATGGAAGTCTACAACAGTAGCTGAGGGTTACATCGATCAATCTATTTCTAATAAAAAGGCTATTACTGAAAGAATAATCCCGACAGCTAGCTCCAGCGTTACAGCATCGTCCTCGTCACTTCAATTAAATGTTAATGCCCATGAAATTGTCAACTCGGATAGTTCAAATATATTACAAGGCTCTTCAACATCGCAAGTTATTGATATCAGCAGTTGCTCTAACTGTACTTTGTTAATGTTAATAAATAATAATAATACCTTGTCTTGATATTCCTATTATAAGTTCGAACTTCGTGAAAGTTCATGAAATATGGATGAACAAAGGGCATTCTTTGTAGTCACTTGTGACCTAACCATACCAAAGTAATCCGTTCTATTCGGGCCGCAGAGACCGCAAAGTCAAGGAGATCAAACAAACTCGTTGTAAAACTAACTGCATGGTTTCACGATTACAATGATTGCTCTTTGTCGCCAAAGTCACACAATTAGAGTTACCCCTTGGAAATTGAGAGCCTTCAAAGTTCCAATTTTCGAAATGGTTTCCTAGAGAATGCTTCTATTCGAAAGCTGTTATTACTATTTGAAGTATTCGGGTTTTCAAGCTGAGACGACAGAATCATCGAAGACAAGATTGTTATTGAATTCGATGAAAAGTTTGCCACTCAGCTCGGTAATGACGCAATCATTTTCGAGTGAAGCAAAGATAGAATTGCAGATTGACAAAATGATTCAAATAAATACAGAAAATCATAATAATCCGGTCAATCTAGACATTAGAAGGTACATGAATTTACAACAAGCTGCAAATGCGTGTAATTGTTCAAAACATAGTTAAAAATAAGATTTTGATATTCCGAATGATTGCGATGCCTGGAAAAAAATTTATTCAAGGTCAAAGGTCAAAAATCTCGAAAAAACAATTTTTTTCAGGAAAACGGTGAGTTTAATCATAAAATAACATACGATAAAAATTGTAGACCATAAAATTCTCTACAAAAAATGTATCGATACTTTTTTTTTAGAGCCACCGTTTCTGAGATACGAGTCAAAAAGTTGTAAAAGTTGTAATCGTCATTATATGCACACGTTTCCACGCCTCCTATGAGGTAGTGTACTTAGCGCGTTTTTTCACAACGTGGTTTCCCCAGTAGGCCTATTCCACATGTCTGTTGTGATTCTGTCAAATTGAAAACTTGCATAATATTAGGGTTGAAAATTATAAAAGCGATTGAAATTAAAAAATTCAAAAATGTATTCATCTGAGTGATAACCTTCAAATACTAAACGTTTCGAACTTCATTTTGGTTCTTCAGGTATACCTAAATATGATGAGTTATTTAGTTATCTAGAAAAACAATGTACCGCTTTCGATTCTGTTCCTCTTTCTAAGGCTTATGAAAGTGACTACAATACATCATCAAACCAACATAAGTCGTCTGTCTCCAGGAGAGCTGCCCTTCTAGCAAAATCTGATGCTAATCAAAATAAATGTTCTTTCTGTCAATCAGATCATAGTATTTATAAGTGACCAGCTTTTTTAGCAAAATCTCCTCAAGGAAAATTTTAAATAGTTAAAGAGCGTAAATGGTGTACAAACTGTCTGGGATCTCATATATCAAAAAATTGTAGTTCATCATCCTGCTGCAGGGTATGCCAGAATAGACTTAATACTTTTCTGCATTTCCGTTGCGATTCGAGTTCCACCTCCTCGATAACCGCCAACAATCCCTCCAATTCCGCAGTAACTTCCAATGCTCAGAGTTCCTCTGATATGCTAGAGACATCTCTTACTCATGTATCTACTATCACATCCGCCCATTCTAGTGCAAATGACGCATCTGTCACAGTTTTATTATCCACAGCCCGAATACACGTGAGAGATATTCGGGGACGTTTTCAACCAATTCGAGTTCTTCTGGATAGTGCGAGTCAAGCCAATTTCATCACTGAAAAATGTGTCCATAAGCTCGGGCTACCTCGAACTAAATCTGTCCTTTGCATCAGTGGTATAGGACAATGCATCTTCAATGATTTCTTGTCATTTGAAACCTCAAAATAAGCCTGAACCTCTTGCCGAGTGTCACTGTCAATAGTGATGAGTGGTCCCATCTATCCAACCTCAAACTCGCAGATCCTCAGTTCAATATCTCAGCTCCAATCGATATGCTTCTTGGTGCAGATATAAATTATTTACCTCCTACAAGGAGGTAAACAATTTGGTCCAAACCCCAATACCCCTGTTGCTCTTGATACTTCCTTTGGATGGATCATTATGAGAAAAGTCTCTTCCCCTACTTCAAAATCTGTCACCTTACATCTGTTGTTATGTGATACCTCGCTTGATCACACTATGAAACGCTTTTGGGAGTTAGAAGAGGTCCCTAGGATGAATACTCGTTCTCCTGATGATTTATTGTGTGACAAGCTCTTCAAAGAAACACATTTCTGCCTTCCCTCCGGAAGATTCGTTGTCTCTCTTGCTTTTCATGAAGGAGAACCTTTTTTTGGGGATACTCGATCTATTGCCCTCAAACGCTTTTACACACTCGAAAATCGTTTGAAGAAATATCCTTCTGTTTATCAACAATACGCCAATTTCATGAAAGAATATCTTTTATGTAACCACATGGAAATTGTTGACATACCCTCCTCTTTTGACAATATGTATTACATTCCACATTTAGCTGTATCTAATCCCAATAGTACTACCACAAAACTTCGCGTCGTTTTCGATGCGTCGTGTAAATCACCCCAAGGTTTCTCTTTCAATCACACTATGCTCACAGGGGAGAAACTTCAGAGAGATCTCATCAGTATTCTCCTCAACTTTCGACTCCACAAATATGTGTTCACCTCAGACGTGAAAATGATGTACAGACAAATTTTAATTAAGGAATCTCACCGCGATTACCAGAGGATACTGTGGAG